TCTGGTTCTCAACGTCCTCCAGAACCCGCACAACCTCCCGGTGGCAAAGAAGGCGGCAAAGGAGGCAAGTCCTCCAAAGGGAAAGGCAAGGAATCCGACAAGGGCAAGTCCAAGGGCAAATCCAAGGACAAGTCCAAGGGCAAGAGCAAGGGGAAAAACTGACTAGGTTCCGATTCGGATGTGGAGATGGACGATGGTCTCGACGAAGTTCCTTTGGAACAAAATGAAGACGTTGCTCCTGATCCACAACCTTCGTTGCCTAGATCCCCAGCTGATCCTCGTGGTTACGATCCAGTTCGCCATGCTCCGGTGATGCCGATTCACAGAGTTGACATTTACGGCTGGTCTGGTGAACACCGTGATACGACCTGGGATCGAGACATAGAGTTCGTCGACTGAACTGGCTGAGTGTTTCACGGAAGTCTTCTTTCATAAGAAGGTATCCATTCTGAGCATTCGTCATTTCATAGGGAGATGCTTTTCTTAGGAAAAGGTACTTCCTAAAGAACTCGTCTTTCAAGAAGATACTTATCTCAGGATAAGATACTTCCAATGCCCTTATACAATTTGCCTTGCCGCAAGATGTCATGCTGGCATCAAGTGGAGCTAAGCTCTACACCTTTATGTTGCAGTATGCTTTCCATCTGGAGAGGGAACTGAACACAAGTGGGCAACTTTCAAGCAAAAGTTTTCAGTGAAGATCCGTTTGCGTTTCGTGCGTGTTCTGCTCTTTTCATGAAGCTGTCTCCAGGCTAGAGAATGTATAGTTTCTCTTCAAGTCGCAGTGTAGCTCAATACTCCGCTAATTCGACCGCGAGCGATAACAGGCTAGTAGAATGCCGACTCCACGGCCATGCAGTTCTACGTGTTTTAAATTTGTGCCTGGTTGAAACACTGAATGTTACACATCCAGGTGCCTGTCTGTCTCACATATCACTTGCATGTATCCATGCCTTTTGCTCAAGGTTCTAGTATACTCGAGTGCAGTGGACTACAGCTGTGCGCCTGTAGCAAAAGAGACACCTGAGTGCCTGTGTTCCTGTACGCCTAGCGAAGGGATACACGTCCAGGTTACATCTCAAGGGGAGGGGGGGGGGGGGTGGCCGGCATACATGGGTTTTTTTGGAAGCTGAGAGTCGTATTTTGGTATGGTCGCTCGTCCAAACAACTTCGCCTTGACTGTATAAGTGCAATTTTATGGAATTGAAGGGAGTTCGCTCCTAGCCGCAGAAGACGCAGCACCTTCAATTTCAAAGAAACGAACGAAAGAGAAGACAGCTCATCTACCTCGTCATCGGCAAGAAACGAGCTTCTTTTCTTTATTATGGGTAAGGCACGAGGTCCCACGGCAGGTCCTCTGCCACAGCAAGAAGCCAAGAGCCCCTTCCCACTTCACGAGAAAGAAAAGAGCTACTGCTGCCTGTTGGTCGACAATAACAGAGAAAAATCTTTGTCATCCCCTTTACAGCAAGCTTTAAAAGAAGAGTCTTTTCCTCCCCCAGTTTCATCATCGCGTATTTAATCGGGACAAAGTTTTTAGTTTAGGTTTTCTCACTTTTTGAGTGTTTTCACTACATTGTAAGTCAAAGTTTTGAGTATAAATTTGTATTCGGTGTCAATCCTGTATAACGTGTTTATTCGTTCAGTTATCTTTATCGTATCTGTTGCATTTATTGCATGTGTATGCGTGAGTGTACATAGCATTAATCATATTACCTGGTATCTGAACTTGTCAACGACATAGTAATCTTTGTGCTTTTAATAATGCGTGCAATTTCAACATTTCTTCTCGTTAATCAGTTTTATTTTATATTCTAAATCACATCTCATTCGCCATCGTTAGTGGGTGTTTTCAACTGATGCTTTTCTCCTTCGAACTCAATATCATAACATGTCAATGTGTCTTCCTTTGGAACTTTAATCTCGCTCTTGTTCAGTCTTTCGATGTAAGTTCTCCTTTTCTTGCTCCAACCGCAAAATCGCCTTTATCAACTGGTGTTGATGATGTGCTCTTTTCATAAGTGCTTGGTTTCTTAACACTGTCCTTATCTAACTGTTGAGCTTTTCCTGAAGTCTCAATAATTTAATTGTGTCATATTATGGTTTTCACTAGTGTTGCAAATCTCATCAGTGCTTACCTTACCCTCAGTCATATACATTAGATATTACGTGTTTTACCCTTTAAATGCATATACTCTCCTCAATATCGGCATCGCTCAAAGGTTCTTTTGCACGTTGAATACACCATCCTTTCGGCTTCAGATGTTCAAACATATGTTTCGATTTGCGCTTCGTTCCGTGGTTTTGTTAAATCAAACTGAGCCCAAGTATACTTAAATGTTTTGGGCTCATACTTCAATAATGTTTGTTCCCATCCTAAGCTTGTCCAACAATCTAAATCAATACCCATAACATTTTTATCGCATTTTTCAGCTACTGTTCGATAAATGTTTGGAAGTTCTCCCATGTATATTGTAACCTGCCAAATTTTTTTCCCGACATCTAATGCACATTTTACAGACTTTACCGTAGCAATCAATAAAATAAGACTTAGGAACATAGCTACGGCAAAATTTACGAATCCCGATGTCTTGAAAAAAACCCTTCGTGGGTTTCATTCGTTAATTTAAGTTCTACTATATTTCATAATAATAACATTTGTCATTAAATTCATAGGGGGAAACCAATGAGATGCTATTGAATGTATCGCACAACTTTCCCTTGCATGCGTTCATCCAACGTGAAACAACGGGGACACGATGTAGTGGCGTTTTCTTCTCCTTCTTCCAAGATAACCTAGCTGGCTCTGTCACATATTAATACAAACAAGCCTTTAATGATAGACCATATATTTAATTTGAAATTCTTCTTTAGTTTTTCTACTTGTTTTTCTAAGGCTTCTATCCTTTCTTCGGGTGTTGGCTTTCGCGAACCAGACCCTGTATCTACCGTATCAATATCTTCATTATCGTTAATATTTGTTTTGAAAATGGCATTCCCATCAGGTGTGGTATTCCTCCCGTTGCCAACTGTCCAACTACTCCTATTCTCTTCCTGTTCTCTGCCTGATTAACTACAACATTACCCTGTTTATTTGTTGTTGTCTTAGTTTGTTTATACAATGCCTTTTTCCACACTTACAAACATTACAATCAACAGTACCATTAGCAATATGAAAACCTCCGTTGTTTTCTTCCACTAATCTTATTTCGGTTTTCTTATTCTTAAGATAATAACATACGGCTTTCAAGAACTCTAACATACTATGATTTGTTACTTCATCTAATTTCTCTTTCTCGTCTATAACTTCTATATAATTTTGAAATCGCTCATATTAAATGGTGGTATAATAGTCTACGTATTAATACTACTGTCAAACATTCCAATACTTAAACCTGTTTATGTGAAAGAAGACGGGTTCAAACAGTCTAAATACGAAGTAGCGCCGAGATTACCCTCTAGTCAAACAATAATTGGCCCTTCTGGAAGCGGTAAAGGTATTTGATTACAACCAATGATATTGGACATTTATAAGGATGTCTTCGCAAGGATTTATGTGGGGGCACCTTCAATTAGCATTGATGCTAATTGGCTACCTGTTAAATGGTATAGATTTAGAACAAGAAAAGGTCTCCGTTGACGACTACAACCCTTCAGAAGTAGAAGAAATTATAAACAGACAACATAAAGTTATGGAACATCAAAAAAGAATAGCCGCAATACATTACATTCAATATTGACTATTGTTGATGATTTCGCCGACTCCAAAAATTCTCACAAAATAGTCAATTATGAAATAGACTATACGTAACAGGGCGACATAATGCATTAAAACTATTACTTTTGCACAGAATTTTACCGCATTGTCTCCAATCATTCGTGTCAATAGTCGTCAGCTGTTCTTCGTCAGATTAAGGAATTACAAAGCAAAGGAAAGAGTGGTTGAAGACTTAAGGGTTGCTCATCATTTCTTGAACACGTCCCCATAGCGGAACAGCCATTTTACTCTAATCCGCATTGTTATACCAATGCTTTGGCATTTTTGAGTTTAAGACATCGTCAGCAATAAACCCGATATGTTTTTCATCTTTATCAATATAGTCAAACTCTTTTGGTTTTATGTATTGGTCCATATCAACAAACGTTTTGCTATTGACTTCATTAATGTCTTCTTTCAGTCTTACATCACTGCTACTATCGAATGTGCCATTTACATAAACACATGTGCTTGAAACTTCATGGAATTAAGTATTAATCCGTCTGCATCCGGGTTATCTATGTTTACACGCCCACTTGTTGAAACTGTTGAATGTGTAATATCTAAAGGACCTAACAACTTAACATTAGCTTCATTTACTGATGTTTGGGCGTGCTTCCATTTGTTCCAACTCTTAAATGAATTGCTTTGTCTGTGTCTCCGTATCTTAGAGTTAAATCATAACCACTTCCGTTTAACATTTTTTTCCTGACGAATGTTGAAATAACATTTTACCCCTTACATTTAAATTCGTTTCTGCTGTTATATTGCTAGTTCAACGAACGTTCTTTCCAGAAAGCGGCATGGCAGCAGAAAACTCCTGCTATAATTCATTGCTCAAGTCCCCTGAATGAGTCGTCAGGTCGTAGCTGGAGTTGCCATTGGGGGTGCTTTCTCCTTGACTGCTCTGCTGAAGTTAGCTGTAAGATACGCTGGAGAAGAGCTGAGTCACGTGGTGGCTCTGTACTCTGGCGAGCTGATAGGAGGAGGGTTGCGTGTGCTACTCGAGAATAGCACTGATTCTGTATTCCGCCTCGGTGGCATCTGGATACTTTTCGAGCTCCGTGCTGAAATACTGTATCTGTTGCGGCTCCTCCTGTCGATTATCTTTTGGTGTGTTGAAAGGTGTGCGGCGGAATTTTCTCTGTGGCCACGGAAAAGCATCACTGAAGCAGAACGATTGGAGACAACCTGTCAGCAAATGGCTCTTGTGGCCGCTCCTGGAGTGAATCCTGGAACCCCCATGGGTTTCTTGCTTCTCGAAAGGAGTGGTGAGTGGGACGAGGTCTACGTAGCATCCCGGCTTACCGGCACCAGTGACTTGATCGTGAGAACCACTACTGCTGACGCATCCGATTGGCAGTGGAGCATTGTCAGAACAGTGCTGGGAGCTGTACGTGCGCCTGTGGGTGTCGGTGGAGCTCGTGGGGCGCCAGCAGGGGTTCATGCAGGTCAGATCAATTGGATCTGTCCTCCAGAAAACCCAGCTGCAAAATGGAATCCCCATGCAGACGAGCTAACAGCCATTCAGCAGGAGGGCCAGTTGTTAGCAATTCAGCTGAGCCAGTCAGGGGTGAACGATTCGATGGTGACCATTCCCGGTCAGGGGATGGATCTGATTCCCGTACCAGTGGGAGGTCCACCGGTAGTGGGACCAGGAGGCGCAGGTGTTTTGGCGCCGGCGCAGCCCGCGGCAGCCGCGGCGCTGGGACCGGTAGGACCAACACCATCTCGGAAATCAGGCGTGGATCCGTTGAACCTGCAATCCCTGGCAGACGCAGTGCAGGAGTTGCGTTCCATGGCAAAAGACAAGGATTCCAAGGAGCGCAGAAAGAAAAAGAAGCAAGACAAGAAGAAGAAGAAGAAAAAGAAAAAGAATCGCGACACCAGTTCATCCAGCAGTCGCTCGCGGAGCAGCCGAAGCAGCTCGTCGTCAGAGGACGACTCCGATGCCCCGCTGAGGTGGGGCTACAAGGCCAAGACCGAGGATGTCGAGCACTCTCAGATCTATGCGTTGGACCAGCAGAAGTTCAAGCGGAAGGGAGAGTTGGTGGCGTATGCAACAAAGCATCCCGGAGCGCTCACGGCCCACTTTCTGGCGTCCATCTACGCCAGGTTGTCCAAAGGCAGATTGACCCGGAGTTCGCAACTTCGGCAGGCCAGTGTAGTGAGCTGGGCTTCGCAATTCTCCGGTCTGACCGAGATCAGGGACATCCGCGAGGTCCTCACTCTTGCCGAGGCCATGGATGCCATAAACCGGAAGGAGATTGCTCGAGCTATGGATGTGTTGACTCAGCGGATCCTTGCAATCCAGCAGGCGAAGAAGAAGGGTGGAACATGGGAGAAGGCCGAGATGATCGAGTTGATTCCATCCGGGAGTGCAGTAGCATCGTCGTCGATGCTGGCACTCACCAACTAGGCCGACGACTACGCAAGATCATGGGTGGTCTCCGCATAAGCTTAGGCTCGGAGGGGTCTGTCCGTGATCTGTTCTGCATGTTTGTCTGCGGCTGTGAGAGACTCTTCGCTCATCAGGGCAGTGTCTTCGATTTTGGACGTGCTTTGTGGAGGATGGGCAGGGGCACATCTCAGTTGCAGAAGAGTATTGAATTCATGGAAATTTCTTCGAGCCGAGGTATTCCTGGGCGCAGTTTACCGCATGTTTTTCCGTTGCCATCGTTTGTCACAGAGGAAGGGGTGTCACGGTTCCAATTTGGGCGTATGCCCGCCACTCATGATGAGAGGGTGGGCCACGGCGTGAACATCCTGCAGGCAGCTCTGAACATGCTGTATGGGGGAGGTCAGACGAAAGTGCAGTCCGTCCTGACCGCTGCCCACAAGCGCATCCAGGCCCGGCTTCAGAAAGGGGTTCAGTCAATGATGGTTGAGGAACCTTTGCTGGGTAGAAAAGAGACCCTTGAATTTTTGAAGCATCAGCAACATTATGTTGGGGGTGGAGTGGCCATCCCCCTCGGGAATAGAGGGGGGGTGCCAGATCAAGCAGCACAAGTCGACTTAGCAGGAGCGCTGGAGACGATGTTTCCTTCTCTGGCCATGCAGGTCAGGGAGCCGAAAGTTCTTCTACTGCCGTCGAGACGGCGTCCCATTCGGATCAAGAGAGGCCACACGTGGCTTCATTCAACATATCCAGATCTGGTTCGCCGCAACGTCGCAGCAGGGCTTCATGTATTGAAAAAGCCAAAGCAAGTAGCACGTCACAGAGGCAAGTGTGTCTTGGCAGGTGCATTTGCAGTGAAGAAGGATGACGCTGAGGACCGAGTTATTACCGACCCAGCAGTCAATCAATTGCTAGACCCAGCTTTGTTGCCCCGTCCACGCTTCGCTTACATTCCAAAGATGAGGACCTTGTGGGTTCCCAAAGTCGGCAAGCTCTTGATTAGTAAACGTGATGCTCGACATTATTTTCACACGCTCCGCATCGGTAACAAGTGGCATAAATGGCTGTGCGGACCGCCTATTCGGAGTAACTCAGGGGATGAGAAATATCCAGCATGTGCAGCGGCTCCGATGGGTTTTGGTCCGAGTGCGGGTTGGGCGCAGGCGCTGACAGATGTGGCGACAGCTCACGCCCAACTTCCGGATCACAGGCGGCTGCATCCAGACAGTCTTTGCCCCGTGGATTTGCCTTTGTGGGGCAGCATCTGTGATGATATTTGGTGGTTGGATCATGTTCATGCTGGGCAACATGCGACAGGTCCTGAGCGACTGGCAGCCGCGGAAGAGGCCTGGAAAGCTCATGGTGTCACAGCTCATAAGAAGAAGTCGGTTGACGAGGGCGACACAGAGATCCAAGGTTACCACATTAGTTCTGATGATCACTGGGTTGGGGTATCACTGCGTAAGCGTTACAATCTCTTTGAGGCCACAGTTTATGTCTTGCAGCAACCTACAGTAGTGGTGAAAGACATCGAGCGACTGGTGGGCAAATACGGATTTTGTCACTCAGCTCGTCCTCCGGCCAGGTCCTTGTTTGAGGTTGTCTATCCGTGGTTGCAGCGGCAGCGGGCAGCTCGGAAGCGATGCGCAGTTCTCCCTGACAACGTGTGGATAGAGCTTATGTTGGCTGCCCTATTCCTACCTTTCTATCAGTTTGACATTTCAGCACCTTTCTCCACGCGGGTGGAGTGTACCGATGCAAGCATGACAGGTTTGGGACGTGCATGGGCAACCATGCCTACCGAGATCGTTCAGGAAATGGCGAGGCTCACGGATGCAGCAAAAGTGTATACAAATCTCAATCTGCCTTGGGGAATAGGGCTCACGGCAGAGCAAAAATGCCCCCTTCGGAGATTAAAGCTTCCCGTTCACAAGGTTTTCTGGCATAAAGCTGGGGTGCGAAGTTTCCCTTCGCAAATATTTCTCGGAGAAGCTGATGCCTGTGTATGGTCAGCGGCCGACCGTTTGCGCAGGCCGCAGGATGATGACAGCAGGTTCGTGCATCCGCTGGACTCCGCGACATGCGTCGGGGCCTTTATGAAGGGTCGTTCGCCAAGCAGGTTGTTAAGCAGACGCTGCAGGAAACTATTCGCTATATGTATTTCCGGTGGGCATGAAGTGTTCTACCCGTGGATCCCCTCGGGAGACAATCCTGCAGACGCCCCTTCACGTTGGTTTGAGGTCGGGGCCGAATCATCCTGGAAGAAAGCTCAACCTGAGCCTTCGGAAGAAGTGGTGATGAGCCCTGTCACTTTGAGCGCTTGGACGGGCGGAGAGAGATTTTTCGTGCACCTTTGTTCAGGTCCCAGTACAAGCTTCGACATTGTGTCTGAGTTCGAGAGAATGTTTTCCGAACAGGGCCTCAATGTTCATGGGCTTCGCATTGATCCGCAGGTTGACATGAGTAACATTCGGTGGCCATTCGAAGAAGCTCCAGACATGTTGCTTCCAACTCATGGTCAATGGTTATTGTCGCTTATTCAGTCAGGTCGTGTCATTGCGGGGTTTGCATCGCCACCGTATGCGCTATTCTCACCCCAAGTTTTTCGAGACGTCGCATGCGCGACGGACGCTTTGCAGAAAACCAGCATGCAACGAAGTCGTGACAGTGCGGTGCGGGTTATTCTTTATCTCCTATGCGTGGGTCTCTTGGGTGAAATGCGATCAAAGGGAGCGTGGTGTGGGTTCGCCCACAGGCTTGGCCGCAATCAACAGATTCCTCACTCCAAGTCCGGTTCACGCATGTTGAATCGGCTTCAACGCTTCGCAGGGCTGCGTCGCTGTGAGATTGATCCGCACTGGTATGGTTCTCAAGGTAAACATGATATAGCTCTGTATGTGTCGGGGTGCCAGAAACTGCATGCTGAACAATTTTCACATGTTCCGCTGCCTTTGAGTGCGGAGTTGGCCTGCCATTGCATCCAACAGGTGTTGAAAGCACAGAACTATGGTTACACCATGCCGTTCAAGCCGCTTCACGTTCGTTCAAGTGGTTTGGATCCTTGGCGAAGTGAGCTCGGCACCTCTTGGGATTGGCCACAGCCGCGTGGAAAATTTCTTGATGTCTGCATTAAAAGACTCAACGCGGCACCGCTATCAAAGCGCATTGGCACTTCTCAACACTGAGCTCGAAAATCATGGTGTAGACTGGTTAGCTATGACCGAGGAACAGCAGGACATGTTTCTGGCTGAATGGCTAGTTGATGGCTATGAGCTCGGGGCAGGTCGTTCGGACTATGGTATCGCGTTGGCGGCCCTGGGTCGGGCGAACCCTCGCTGTCGGTTTCGTACCGCGTGGAAGGTGTTCGATGTCTGGGGTCAGATGCAACCTCCAATGCAGGCCGGCGCAGCACCTCCTGAGCTTGTTACGGCTATGATGCTAGCAGCTTTCGCGCTGAACAAGGTTCAGGTCGCAATGGTGATTTGTGTCTCCTTTGCCGGTCTGCTTCGTGTGGGCGAGGCCCTCAACCTGCACTGGAAAGACGTGGTAATTGGTGATCACAGTATTACATTGTGTCTGGCGTCTACCAAAAGGGGTATGGAGCAAAAAGTGATTCTTACTAATGCCGTGGTTTGTGTGTGGGTTTGCAGGTATAAGACCTTGTATGAATCTCGCTTCCACGGGCGCGTGTTCTCGGCGTCTTATTCGTCTGTTCTCAGATGGGTGAAACGCCTGGCTATGCTGTTGGGAGCGCAAGATCTGCATATTACCACACACAGTTTCCGTCGTTCAGGCGCTAGTGAGTTGTCAAAGCGGGGTATGCCCCTCAGTGATATTCTACTCTACGGGAGATGGCTATCGGAACGGTCTGCCAGAGAATACATTCGAAAAGGTGAGGTGGCAATCATTCGAGCCGCAACTTCTGTTCCCGCAGTTGCTTTGCAAACTTGGAATCGTTGGGCCGCCCTACTGCCACATGCATGGAATATTCATGCTGCGATGTCAGTGGTATGCCCTGTGGAAGTTGCAGCTCGCAGCGTGACTGATGACATATTCAGGCGACTGTCTACTGCAGTCTTTGCCCTCTTCCGAGTTTGAGGTATGATGGGAGGCGAAGGTCCTTCATGAAGGCAGCGCGCTATATCTCACCATATCCGCCTTCGCCTATTGAGGCGCTGAGCAAGCACGGCCAATGGGCCAGCAGCTTGAAATCGCATCCACAAAAATCTGGAGCCACATTTTTCGGATGACTCATGTTCCTGCGAAGGGTTTGTAGCGGCCTCAGTGAACTGGAATTGCTAGTTCAACGAACGTTCTTTCCAGAAAGCGGCATGGCAGCAGAAAACTCCTGCTATAATTCATTGCTCCCCAGCTGCGCACCCTCCCGCCCTAGGTGGGAGGCGAAGGTCCTTCATGAAGGCAGCACGCTATATCTCACCATATCCGCCTTCGCCTATTGAGGCGCTGAGCAAGCACGGCCAATGGGCCAGCAGCTTGAAATCGCATCCACAAAAATCTGGAGCCACATTTTTCGGATGACTCATGTTCCTGCGAAGGGTTTGTAGCGGCCTCAGTGAACTGGAATTACCAATACAGTTAAGAGTTAATGTATTTGTGACTGCTCTATTAATTGTAGTGCTTGCTGGATTGTCATTGATTTGTAAGACATTGCAGGGGGCACGGTTTGTTGCGAGCATCGGCGTCTGCACGTTGGTGTTACTGGTCCCAGGCCCTAAGATGAGGACGTCAACATGGTTTCGAATTCAAAACTTTCAATGCATTCAACCTTCGAACTCTTCGAACGTCAAACCTTCAAACTCCCAAACTCTCAAACCTGGAGCATCTCAAACATTCGAACCCCGCGTTTCTCTCAAACTTTCAAGCTTTCGAAGCTGGAAGATTTCAAACCTTCACACCCCATGGATTGAAACTTTTCGAACTTTAGAACTTTCAAGCTTTCTAAGTTTCAAACTTCCTAGGTTTCAAATTTTCAATCTCCAAGCTCTCAAACTTTCGAACTCGAGCCTGAGGGCTGCTCTGTGAACCCCAACGCGTCTCCAGCGGTCCTTCGCCTTGCTCCTTCGCGCAACACGCGTTGCCACGGCATCAAACTTCCAAGCTGGATACCTCTTCAAACTTTCAAACTCCAAGCTCGCGACCATTTTCAACCTCGAAGCTCTCAAATTTTCAAGCTTCAAACTTTTCATTCTCCAAACTTTTCAAGCATTCAAACTTTCGAATCTCGTCCAACATGTAATAGGTTCAAACTCTCAAAAATCGAGTTCGGAAACCCACACTCGTGACACCTATCTGTATGAAATCCGTAGCCCGTTGTTTGATGCAGTACTTCCAGGCGTTTTGCTTGGTCGCGGCTCACTTCCGCCAGACTTTGCCAGCAGATGTGTCAAATCCCTAGCCCTTTGTTTAATGCAGCAATAACAGGCTTTTGCTCGGTCGCGGCTAACTTCCGCCGGATTTGACATGATAAATCCTGGGGAGCCCCACCCTCGCCACCCTACCCCAGGGGGCCAAGGAGTATTCCAGAGAGGACACACTCCTCTAACTCCCTGTTCTTTACACAAGAGCCAGCTTCCAAACAAACCCTGCTGTCGGATCTCGGAGATTCCAAGCCGGAATTAAATGAGTGAAATATTGTGGAAGCCTCCGGACTTAGATTACTGATTGAAACATTTAATTCCGAGGCCTGGGACCCCCCTGGACCCCTCCACCCAGATATAAACTTGTATAAATAGTTTAGATGATTCAGTGTATTTGAACTATTTAATTCGCGACGGGAATTACATATTCAAAGGTTGGGGAGGCCTCGGCCTGCATGCAAATTTGGGGGTCGCACAGCTCGGTTTCCGGGATGCAAACTTTGTGGTACAACCTGTAAAGGTGGGTTTTCGAGATGCAACGGCTGGGGTCGTGGTAGAATGGTATAATAGCAAATAGTAGAGTAGTTAACAGTAAAACAGGACATAGTAGAATAGTACAGTATTGAAGTACTGAAATAGTAAAATAGTACACTCCTGGTGAAGCGGCGCAGGTCGGTTCCCGAGATGCAAGAATAGTAGAAAAGCAAATAGTAGCGTAGTTAAGAGTAAAAGGGACATAGTAGAACAGTACAGTACTGAAAGAGTACAGTATTAAAATCCTGGTGAACCGGCGCAGGTCGGTTTCCGAGATGCAAACGGGTGGGGACGTGGTAGAATAGTAGAATAGCAAGTAGTTAGCGGCAAAAAGGACATAGTAGAACAGTACAATACTGAAATAGAAAAAATGGTAAAATAGTAAATGGTAAAATCCTGGTGAACCGGCGCAGGTCGGTTTTCGAGATGCAAAAAGGTGGGGTCGTATCGAAATAGTAAAATAGTCAAATAGTAAAATCCTGTGAACCGGCGCAGGTCGGTTTCCGAGATGCAAAAGGCTGTGGTCGTGGTAGAATAGTACAATAGAAAACAGTAGAGTAGTGAACAGTAAAATAGGACATAGTAGAAAGTACAGCACTGAAATGGTAAAATAGTATGATGGCAAACAGTAGAGTAGTTAACAGTGAACCTGGTGAACCGGCTTAGGTCGGTTTCCGAGATGCAAACGGGTGGGGTCGTGGTAGAATAGTATAGTATAATAGCAAATAGTAGAGCAGTTAACAGTAAATAGGACATAGTAGAATAGTACAGTACTGAAATAGTAAATAGTAAACAAGGAAATTCCTGGCGAACCGGCGCAGGTCGGTTGCCGAGATGCAAAACGTACTGGGTCAAATGGAACAGGTAGGTTGTTCGAGATGCAAAGTGCCTGGTGCCATGCATCTCGGGCACGGGCTTTGCATCTCGGAAACCAAGCCTTGAATGTCGAACACCACAGTCCCGTGCCAGTCCCTGGGAATTACATAGCTTAAATGACTTGAATCCGGAGGCCTCCCCGATATTTACAGTACTTAATTCCAGGGACCCCCAGATTTAAAATATGTAAACCATTCGATCATTTGAGTTGTTTATTCGGGCCGGGAATTAACTCATTCAAATATTTAAACCCGAAGGCCTCCCCAATATTTTGCTTGTTTAATTCCGGCTTGGAATCTCCCCAGATCCGACAACAGGACAATAGGGTGTATTTGGAAGCTGGCTCTTGTGCATACAATAGGGAATTAGAGCTGTGTGTCCCCTTTAGAATACAAGAGCCAGCTTCCTAAACCCGAGCTTGCCGTCAGATTTATTGTCCGACCGGGGACCGATCGATGTGGTGCCTCGTCGAACTCAGTAGTTCCCATCCAAAGCAATAACGAAGTGTTAACACGGTTCAGGATGTGTCCCGATGGAGGCATGTTACAGGTAGGTCGAGGTGCCATCAGGCAGTCGGCCCGCGGTCTTCCAAGATCCTGCTCGGCGTACATAGCGCCAACTCGACTTGAGCGCAGACGACAGTCGTAACGGCAGCACATCGAGGGTGCAGATGTTTATTTTAGCACTCGCGCGTTGGATTTCCAGTTGCTTATCTCGGGGGCAACGACCGTGGATTCCTTTTCCATCGACACGAAAGTCTAGTGTGAACCCTTGAACACCACGGTATGGAAAGGAACAAAATGGATTCTGAAGGTGGTGAAGTCAACACGCCTTCAAACGGTTCAACCTGCTGCGCTTCAACATCTCTTTGGAGAAGAATACCACTTCTCAGATGTGTTTGCCTGTCAACTCTCAGTTGATGCTAGGCATGCTAGGCACTGGTTCACAGCCCAGAGGTTACGGGTTACGTTTTGTCGGAAACGGAGCATAGGGCATAGGGCGACGTGCATCGGTGACAACGGACCGGTGAGTCGCGAGTCAAGCTTTGGCGGCAAGGTGGCGACTGTGCCCGCGAGGACACGAAGCTCCTGCTCCACTCATTCATGGCCAAAGCAATGCCTCAAGAGCCCTCGTCGTAGGAATGTCATAAGAAAGCAGGGAGGCAAGCGAATGGGAAAAGTATGAGATGGGCGACTAACATTCCTTCGACGCATGCAATTCGACACGGCGATGGTCCAAGCTGGACAACGTGACTCGTTGCGGGAGGCATGATCAGATGGTCGGGCACGAGCGCGGGTTTGCACGCATGTGTGCGCTTGCCCGAGTTTCCTTCCATCTCTATATCTCTGGCTGGGTCCCTTAAGTTTCATTTCCTTGCACCCGTTCCTTTTAACTTCTGTGCGTTTGGTGGCCGCTGTGCGACACACTGTGACATACCGCCTGTCCTTCACAGCAGGTGCCCTGAGCCCCTACAAGGCACGAGTTCTCCAGTTCTCATTTCAACGGCAACTGCTCCCTGACACTTTGTCGTGACAGGAGCCAGCACCCAGAGATAAGGACGAGGCCCCACTCAATGAGTGCAACACTCACTTCGTGGACCGCGGCGGGTGTTAGCGAGGCACTTATGGCCGTGGGTGATTTCCGCTGCCTGGAACCGAATGCCTGGTTCGGCTTGTGGCGCCGCTTCGGCGGAAACCTGGGCCCGGAGCCTGCGAAGCGTGCCGGGATGCCAAGACGATGCACACAGCGACACAGGAAGTGGCCTTGGATTTCCGCCGCTTTCCACTTTCTCAGGAACAGGAGACTGGACTGGACCAGGGTTTCCCGCACCACCTCAGTGGCGGCAAAGGGCCTTTCAAGGTGCCACAGATCCGTTGCCCGTTGCACAAAACATGCTGATCATGCGCAATGCGGCAGGACGGTTTCCACGATTACGTGATTCGTGGTGACAAGGTGCTTTGCCAGTTGTGCTGCACGGACAAATCTCTTCCTGCTCTTACTGAGTCGCTGTGTGCATTCGAGGCAGCAGTGTCAACCAGCAGCGGGACCAAAGCAGGCCTGCTAACGAGGTGGCGAAGCCGCACAAAGTCATCGCCAAAGATCGTTGTCACACTGGCCTGCCTTCCAGGCACAAAGTGGCCGCAGGCAGTCACGTGAGCTTCAGATTGCGGTTGACCTGTGCCGACAAGAGACGGGGCCTCATGGCACCGGTGTATGAGGTAATGTGCGAAAATTGTGAGAGTTGGCGAGGCTTTCCCCAAGGAGCTTTCCGGGACTTTGATAACACCTTCCAGTCGCGGCGAGAAGAGGCAGACAGGCGCCGCATGGCCCGATGCTTCAATGCGGGATCCAGGGGTCAGCAACCCCTCCACTTTGCCTGGTTTGCACTTATGGTTTTGCTCAGGGACCAGATCACTTCATGCTAATTTGCCTGTCGCACCTCTTTGAAGCTTGAGTGGTGACATGCATTGCCATTTACAGCAATATAGTCGCGGCACTGCTGGTTTCGTTTGGCACAGCTTTCTTCTCGCATGGGAGGTTCTATGGCCTTGTACAGGAGGACATCACGGATTCTGAGCGACGTCTCATTCATCGCCAGGTCAATGTCGCACGTGATTCTGCTCTGCACATCAGTCTTGAGCATTCTGCAGAGGTGAAGCAGCATGAAGCAGCAACATTGCCCTATATGCTGGATACATGAAGGTGACAGTGACCTATGCCGGCCGCAGCTACCTCACCAGTACTGACTGCCGACAAACTAGGCAAACCATGCCAGGCTCCCGAACGAAGACTCTGAAAGCCAAACTGGCCGCCTTCAAAGCAACACATGCTGCTGGATGCCTCGGAAATGCAACCGATTGCCAGGCTCTCGCAGGCATGATTTGGACCAAGCAGCACCTTGGCTGCATTGCTGGTATCTGGCTTGCGTTTCGGAAACGACCTGTGTGATGCAGCTCGCCGTCTTTGGAGGCTATACTATTACGATATTCGAACGTGGCTTTCAGGCACATGGCAGCGACATCGTCGGGCCGTAGAAGAGCTATAGCCGCCATAGCCATGAGACTGGAGCGTGCGAGGCGACGAGGGTCGCGGAAGGCCTCCAAGTCGTGGCCGGGGCCCTGACGGCCCTGGTTTGATGAAAGGCGGCCAAAACTGAAAAGAGGTGGTCGCAACGAAGACTGGGATCACCTTTACAATGCTGACGTGATCTCGATGCCGGTGCCTTGCTCAGCACTTGCAAGTAGTCTTTTGGAGCAATCGTGTGTCAGCCTGCCGCTCGGAGGACAAGTGGGAATATCCCTGGTATGCCACTTGGGTTTGGGCCCTGCGGTATGGCGATACTTGTATCTTCAAAATTGCTTCCACACTGAGGACTTAGCATTCCACTGTCTTCCGCTGGCATTGGTCGATGCTCAGTTTGCGAAGGCCGTTTCGCGGCACCCGCGAGACCGATTTTTGAAAGTAGACTTGTGAGGAGCAGTTGCGGCTCATCACCCTAGTCTCGCCGGCTTGATTTAGCAACATCGATAGGCCCCCTCTCTTCATTACACTCTGCAAAACTGGCCGATTGCAGGAGAGGCCGCCACCCCAGCGTTCAAGTGCTTCAGATGAGACCGCCCCCAGAACGTCTCGGGTACCCTTTCCAGACCCTTGCAGCCTTGTTTGACAGAGCGAAGCGCAGCGATCGTAAGGTTCATGCACCCCAACGGCCAGTTCCCAGCCTATGAGTGGAACTTCAACGATGTGAACCCACCGGTGCATGCCTGGTGGCCGAGTTCGTGTCAGAGAGGGAGGAACAAAGAGACGTACGACACTGCCGTAACTTGTAGCAATGAAAAACAGCTCGCCCGCCTACAGTCCACTTTCTATATTATGGGGTTCGCCTATCACTGCGATACTTAAGAAAGTCCAACATCGAAACTCACGAAACGCTTCGTAACAGCCAAGCCTGTCTCGCAGAAACACAGCAAGCTAACCCTGATTCCCCACCCCCAGGTCCCCCCCAACCAGCCCCAAGCCATCCCCCCAGGTTTTTTCCAAAACATAAGGTGTACTTTTTGGAAATTTTGGAATTTCGGAGTTCCGGAAAGTTAGGGGAGAGAATTTTGGAATTGAGTTTTTGAGGGCTGATTGACCCCTCCCCCCGATGACAGACCATGCACTACGACTGAGTTGAAAGGGCATGGTCTGTCAACGGGGGGGCGACCATTAATACATATATATATATATATATGTATATGTACAACTCCATTTTTTGGGAAAGATCCCCCGGCCAGGCTACAGGCACTGTCGAGGGCCCCACCACATTCTGTGTAGGCCCTGTTAGCAGACCCTGTCCGTCCCGTCTATATGCCCTGTAGACAGGGCCTGTGCCACCCTGCCACAGGCCCTCTCTGATCCTTCTATGGACAAGAAGCAAGGTCGGGTAGGGCGTTTTCAGTAGTAGCGCCAAGTAGTTAGTAGTAGAAGTAGAAGTGGAAGTAGAAGTGGAAGCAGAAGTAGTAGTGGTAGTAGTAGAAGTAGTAGTAGTAGTAGTAGTAGTAGTAGTAGTAGTAGTAGTAGTAGTAGTAGTAGTAGTAGTAGTAGTACTAATACGAATAATACTAGGAGAGGCTGACGGCGCCGGCGCCTGTGTGTATTTCGTAAATATTGGGCTTCGGGGGTCTGTTCTGCTTTCTGACGGCGGAAGAGCACGAACGGAAGACCGTGCTATTTGTTGGGATCTTTCGTTTCGGGGTACACAGGCTTTGCTGTTACAAGGGGTTTTCCTGATTTAAAAGTTGGTATGGCTTGCGGGGGGGGGGGTCTGAGTGCGGGCTTTGAGCTTGCTTTATTTCTCAGGCTTTGCCGTTGGACAGGGTTTCTGTTAGGCCAGGTTTTCAAGTTCTGCTTTCAAATGGCTTGGCTAGGCTTGGCTTTGGGCGGGGGGGGTCCACTAGGTCGGGCCGTCTGGGAAATTTCGGAATTTTGATGTTTCGGAAATGTTGGAAATTTCCAAAAAGTCCGCCCTTATGTTTTCGAGAAACCTGTCCACTAGGTCGGGCCGTTTTGGAAATTTCGGAAATGTTTGAAATTTCCAAGATTTTCAAAATTTCCGAAAAGTCTGCCCTCATGTTTTGGAAAACCCTGTCCACTTGGTCTGGAAATTTTGGAATTTTTGGAATTTGAATATGTTGGAAATTTGTGGAACTGCTGGAATTGAGTTTTAGGAGAGCTGATTATGATCCATGCGATGACAAACCATGCACTACGACTCACTTGCAAAGGCAAGGTCTATCAATACTCATGCCAATGTTTAGACGAATATCAACATCTATATATATATATATATATATATTCATATATGTATTGATGCTCCTACGAATACTTTACCAGTACTGATACTGACATTGACCATTTGCTGAATGCTCAGGCTAATACCTGCATTTATACAAATCGAATTAAAGCCGAACACGAATATGCATAATGCCATACTAGTATTGATTAATGTTGACATTAATACTCCTGCGCAAATCAATTGTCATATCCAGATTGACATTAGTGTATATAAATACCAAAGCTAGTACACACCTGCATATAGTAACGTACATACATATACATACCACTATATTAAAGCACAAATATATTAACTCATTCATGTATTCATCTGTTAGTATTTTCATATAATCAAGAGTAGTACTCATACAAACATTCCTGCAATTACAAATCATCACATCAATATTGGTACTGACGCTAACGCTACTGTTAATACTAATCACAATAATATTCATAACAGCAGCAATATTTATGTGGGAGTTTTCGAAAATAGGGGACCCGAATATTGTACCTTAATTAGTAGGCTCCTAATTATAAGCATCCCAAAAATATTTCGGAAGCCCCCATACAAGTATTGATGCTCCTACGAATACGAATACGTATACTCTTGAGGCTTTCACAGTAATGCTATCACCAATACTAATGCTGATATTGATAACGGATAACTTGTTGAGTATTCAATGCAAGATAATGCCAAATTTTGCGCTCTGGCATTAATACTTATATTAAGGCCCAAACGACTATGAATAATCCTAATACTAATATTCACCTTAATACTTCTACGAATACCAATAATCATATTCACATTGATATGACTTAAGAATATTAATACCATTACTAATAGACACGTGCAGAGACTAATGTACAAACAATAAGATACAGAATATGCTGCTTATTGATGTATGAATCTCCTGTACTAATGGGCTAATATACTAATATACGAATACTTCAATATGCAAGTAAACCGACATGACAAACCAGTATGCTAATATGCCAACATACTGATCTACTTACAAATCAATAAACAATGCACGAATACAGTAAATATATTAATATACTAATGTACAAATATACTGGTATGCTAATATATTAATATGCTAATACACCAATATACTAATGTATTCATGCACCAGTTGTACTAACATAATGAATATACTATTATATAAGTGTACAAATAGGTTACTGCTCGAATACTTTAATGTATTCATATACCAATCTGCTAATATACGAAACCATCAACATATCAACATATCAAAACTAAGTCTTATACTGCTATTACTACTAGCACTTCTGCGAATATTAACTCATATTAAAACCAGCATTAAGACTGATACTAATGCTAGCAGTAGTACTATTACTGACATTGACACTGGCACTAAACACTGACACTGACACGAACATGAGCACTAGCACTAATTTTATCTACTAATATTGATATTGTGTACTTACAGTGAATACTAATACTAATACTCATCCTAATATCAATACTACCACGATACTATTAACTCATGTGCCGCGCTTGTGGTGCATGCGTCCTCAGTACATGGCATGTTAAAAGTATACGTTGTACATCTACGTTAAAGGTTTTACTTTGCAAATTATCGTCGTGTGTGGTGTGTTTAGATACAGTATCTCAGCGGAGTCACCTGCCAGGAGTATACTGTCACAAGGGCATGGTTTGTCAACGGGGGGGGGGCGAGCATAGATATATATATATATATATATATATATATGTATATTGTGCACACAGACACACACACAGAGACACAGACACAGACATACAAATATATATATATATACATATACATACCATCTAGACTCTAGACACTCAGCTGCAGAGAAGCGTGGACACTGTCAGATAGACACGCGAGTAGGCGAGTGATCATCTGAAGGCCTGGGCGGTGTGGAGGGTTTTCCAGATGGACCGCAAAAACCGCGCGGATGATGGAGACCTGAGCGCGGCTCTTGGATTCGGAAGCTGCAAAATCTGCTCAACACAGCTTCCCTTACAAGGCTTCTTGGAGGAGCTGTTCCACAAGCTGATGCATCGCAGCCGAACAGAGAGACATTTGCGCTGCTGTCACTGCAGAGCCATTGCAGAGGCTGAACTTCACGTGGTGGGTTAATCGCAAAGATGCCGAGGGCAGGACGTCGCATGAGCACCCAGCTACAGTCTCAGACCATCGTAGCTCGGATCCAAAACTGGCAGGAACATCTTTCAGGGCGGCTTCCTAGGTGCATGCGTGTGTTCACGTTACAGCCTTTGCAAGCGGCGGGTTTCCAGAGCAGGCTTGGACAACATCGGCGTGGTGGATCGCAGCCAGCCTTTTCCCAACGGCCTCAGCCCCGGCGAGCCCTGAAAGTCCCTCGACAGAACTGCTGCAAACCTGGCAGCCTGCCAGGTGGGATGATCAACCAATCGGATGGCACGAGCTGGATGGCCTTCTACAGTTCCTGATCCTAGAACAGCCCCTAATCCCAACTACCTCCCGCCCCGCCTCAGGGCTGCACTGCTCAGAGCAGTTCTTTGTTACCGAGGCCTCACGCTGATGCGCATGGCTTTGGAATTGGCCCTGCACAATCCCGTGTGCGCCGCTTCGCTTTGGGAATTGATGCACGTCACTTCGAAAAACACATGACGATTGCCATTAATTCACTTAAAGAAGTCCGGAGCCATGGCAATGCAAGCTGGCTGTGAGCCTTGTTTCGCAGACACGGAAACAGCACCTGTGGATCTGAATGGCGATGATCGAATCACCGTCGACTGCGACGAGATGCTCCGCAGCGGCACCGAGGCTGGGGTCCAGCTGTCTGACGGCCTTGCTGATGCAATGCTGCGTGACCCTTCGTCTTCGTCTGGGCCACAGAAAGTTCACGCGGAGCAGGGATCGCAGCATTCAGCATTGTCTCTCGGTTCTAGTTCCGATTATCCCTCCTTTTTTCGAAAGCGTTGGTGGCATTCGAAATCCATGTCCTTGCCGAATCCATGCTGGAGATAGGTCTGTCGATGTCGACATCCTGCGGTCCATCTCGCGGGCCCACCTTAAGAGGTTTCGGCTGGCTCTGGCACCGGCGCACCTTGGTCCTGCGTTGGCCTGAGTCACCCCCGGTTGAATATCTGTCGAACTTTAGAAAGGCGTCCCGTTGGTTCCTTGGTCCACTTCCTCCCTCTCAGTCAATCCCCAGCTGCAAACCGAAGGTATTGAAAGGATGAGCCAGCATCATCTTCAAGATCTGTGGACAATGTCCAAACCGGCCGACTCACTGGACATTTTCCTGAACTGGCATTTGCCGCCTGTTTGATTTGCGTACTACCTCCAGTTTTGTCATCTAACCCTTTCCTTTAGCTCGCAGATATTATCTCGGTTCATGCTCAAGGCCCTAGGGCCTAGGGGATAGCTCTGCGCATGCAAACTCAGTCAGCTCAGTTGTCCGGATGCTTTGAAGCCCTCGCCAATTCAGAGGCGGCAAAACTTCAAGGATGGCATGCTGAGGCCGACTGGTACGTTGTGCACATGTTGGTGGTGGGTTCGCTACTGCGGACGCGAGTCGCTACCAGGACCATGGTGGGTCGTGTCGTGCTGGCCCGGATGATTGGCAGATTGACGCCCTGGGCGTCGACTGCCTGACCCCTTCTTGGCCCATTTCCATTCGGGTTGGGCAGTCAGTCGACCGAGTGTTGCTTAGACCTTGCCCAAAAGAACGCCTCTGGCAACTGCTGTGTGCTGTCGTGGTCGACGATCTAGTGCTAGCCGCGGCTTTGAGCAAGTTCTTCATCCGTTGCCCTTCCCCAACTTCGAGTTTCCAGGATGTGTTAAAGATGGAGCAGGAGCTGACGTGGCACGCAGTTCACGCCACTCCGGAATTCCAGCACCGAGTGTGTCGGAGTCTGCTTCGACGCGATGCATAAATTGGATCGTGGCTCATGCGTTCTGGTGCCTTGAAAACCCTTGCTGGGCCAGGTCGACGAGGCCGGCGAACCCTGACGCAGGCATGTTGCGACAACCTGCATATCTAATACATCCCCGAACACCACGATGAGCTCCTGCCGAAAGTGGATGCAGACATGTCGCATCAAGTATGTCGGCACGCGCCCGAGCTGCACGAAAACGTTTTGAATAACCACGTGAAAGCTATTGGAAAGGCCGATTCAAGGCGCCAGGCGACCAGAGGCACCAAAGCCAACAGCGAAACCGGCAGCAGCGCAGGCTTTGCTGTTTTGCCGAAATTCGGATGCAACTCGCGACAGCATGGCTATATATTGGCAATAGTAACAGTATGTCCTGGTGCACAGACTTTGCTTGCTCAACAAGTGTTCAACATCGGCCTACGACTTTCAGAGCGGGTTCAACAAATGGACCGTTGTCATGGCATACCAGCATGTGACATGTAATTTGGACGTCCTTCGCATGTATCGTTTCTGCTTAAGATGACTGCTGTAGGGTACGGTAGGCTTTGCCATGCCGGGTCCCATGGAGAATGGAGAGCCTTAGCCGGTGCGTGCGGGGACGACTATCTGGTGGAGCTGAAGCTTCTCGACTCCTGGCAGCCCAAGACCATGGCAATGGTTAGGAAGGCCGGAGTTCCGGCAGAAGCTGGGGATGCGCCAGGTGAGGGAGCTAAGAACGCTTTACCGGGCATTCGACATGATCGTGGAGGGCGAGACGATCTTCTCGGTCAGAAATTGACGGCCAGCCAGGGCCGGCGAAAAGCCCGGTTCGTGGAGCTCCTGCCAAGAGACGCCCGTCTGCTCCAACGAAGCGGTGATGGCAGCGAGGCAGCTGGCCCTTGAGTCAAAGGTGCAGGAGGCAGGGCACCAAGATGCACCAAGCGTGGGGCTGAGGCAAAGGCCATTTGGCAGGCCAGGACGAAGGAGGAGCCTCCCCCCTTCAGGTGTCGATGCATTGCTACAAAGGAAGAAGGGGGAGGAAAAGAAAGGGGAAATGTGCAACAAGGGGAAGAAGTGACCCCCCAACTGCGGCGGATAACCAGCGCAAGAAAGAAAGGAAAAGCGAGGCGTCCGCGCGAAACAGCGATAGGAGGAAGAAGAAAAAACCCTTTCAGGGCTGAGCTGGAAAGCCTCCGGCAGCGGAAGCGGCCCTGGCGACGACCCTGATGATGACCCCTGGTCGAAGCACATCCTCTAATGCGTGCCTCACCAGCCGAGGTGGGGCCAGGCCCCCCAAACCGCGGAGCCCACAATGAACGTGATTTTTGCCCGATGCACGTGGAGGCGCCGATCAACTCCCCAAGAGCAAACCGGCTAGACCATTGGCACCTGGTGCCTTTGTATGGAGCCCTCCATGCTTTCAACTTCAATTACTCCTATGAATGGATCATGGATCTATCCAGTGTCCTCTCAAACCGTTTTCGGGACTTGTTGATTGCCGCCTGGCCCCGAGAGGGGCAAGCAGCAGTGGTGGACCTCTCTGGCAACACACCAAAGTGAGCACAAACTGCACCCGCAAGACACCTGTAGAAATGTCCGTGCGCCGCCCAGGTTTTCGCCGCGACAGCCGGCGCAGCCTTCCTCCACTTTTCACAGTGCGGCCACAGCAAGTAGGTCGGCGGCCTGTCCGGGCCACGGCTGACGGCTCCACAAAGAAGCATTTGAGCAGGAGATGTCATCAAAGACCCTCGGACGCTGAGAAGCTCATCGATCACTTGGCGGTTGGGTCCGCCGTCCTTGGCCCGCACGGAGAAAAGCGGCCTCGGGAAGGCAGACCCAAACGTGGCGAGCCTCGCAGGCCTCGAACCCCGGTGCCCAAGGCCATGGTGCCATATCGTCGTCCACGGGCAGCCCGAAATCTCTCAGCCTCTCGCCTCTGCCACGGCTCTGGAGGCGGATTTTGCGAGGCGCTGGAGCTGCCCAACAAGCTGTGCGATACCATTGCCTTGGTGGTGCGCAGGAATATCGAAGAGCTCTGCCCACTCATTCCTGGCAAGTGCACAGATCGGTCACTGGAGTGGCAGGAGATGGCACACATGACAGGAGCAACTGCAAGGCGCTCATTTCCACTTTGGCAATGTTGGCCGCGTTGGCAGAGATCAGTCGCCGAGCGGGGCAGTTGGAAACTCACGGCACCAGGTTCTTCCAGTTCCTGGTCTACCATGTTTAGGCAAAGGGCAGCGCTCAAAGCAAAAGGTTGAATAGGTTGGCGAGACAGGTGATGGCAGTTCAGAAGTGTGGCAATCGTTGGCCTTGTGGACCATATCGGCGTGGAACTTCGCCGATACAGCGTCTAGGCGGTTCGCTCGACACCGTAGCCCTTAAGCTGCACCTTCGCTTTAGGGGCTGAACACCAAATCCCGTGCCAAGTACAAAAAAGTCCTGCTTCGCTTCTTGGCAAATTCTGGAAAGGGAGGATCTCAGCATGCCCGCTTCAGTGAAGGAGCTTGACGATGCCCCTTTTGAGTTTATGAATGAGTCGTTCCAGGAAGGTGATTCCGGGGTCGGCACTAAAAAGATCCCTCCCGACTGCGGTCGAGACTTTACCTTGCCACTCAACTTTATGCCAACTGGATGAAAGGTTACAAGCCTTGTCATGCTACTCCCCTGCTGTTGTCGTTGGTTCAAGCCATGGCGGGAGCAGCCTTCTCTGCAGGCCACTTCCGGCTAGGAGTGGCCATCCTTGAGCAATTTCTTTTCTTTTTGCGAACTGCAGACATTTTCGGGCTGAGGCCCAGTGACATGTCGTGCCTCATTTCAGGGCATGTGGTGGTGGCCCTACCAATTCACCGGGCAAGATTCAAGAAGCTTCTCGTCTTCCTCGGCTGCAAGGAAGGCAATTTTCTGCCTTATCTGTACGGCTGAAGGCTTGGCCAAACTGCCCGCGCCAACCAGGAAGAAGCTGACCAGCGCCGCCGAATTTCTGATTGGAAGCGCGACCTTAAGACTGGTGGCCTTGGCCGCATCAGTAAGTGGGTCAGTAGCAAGGAATCTCCGTCCATCTCCGTCAATGTCACTAAAGTCAGGCGTGTTGCTCAAGACGATGTTGCTGCGGCTAGCTTCATCCGCGAGCACTGGGTTGAGGTGCAACAAGACCAGGCCCGCAACTCCCAGACGAGGTCGCTAGCACGCTGCTGCAAGGTTTCGCTGGCAGCCTGGAGAAAGAGAAACAAGACCCGCATTCATGGTCAGCTCCGACTCTTCAGGACTTCACAAGGGCCGATCGGCGTAGTTCGGGGTCTGCAGGCCCAGACTCGTGGTCAGGAGAGGAGCTGCGCAACATGCCAGACGCCTGCATTTTCTTGTTTTTCAGGTTGTCGCAGCGCTGGGGCATAGTCGCAGATGTGCCCGTCCAGCTCAAAGAGGGTCGTCAGGTTAACCTGCCGAAGCAACATAAAGTCTATGATGCAGTGTACATCAAAGCTGCAGATACTAGGCCAATCACGGTCTTATCTGCTTGGTGGAGCTGGCGCGTGGGCCACCAGTGGTCCGCTGAAAGAGTGGTTGTCCAAACACATCGCTGATGAAGTCTGCGGTCTTGCAGACCGGGCGATCACATGGTGCACACCAAAGGGGTGCTTGTCACCTTGGACTCGATCCGAGAGCTACGGCCTCACTGCTCCTGCAGCTTGGGTGGCCACGCAGTTTGATCGGCACGTTGTTGGCTGTTTGGGACCAGGGTCATAGATGGGTGCAATGGGGTGGCCACACTGACCCTATACCCCTGAAATGCAGTGCCGCCCCGCAGGGTTGTCCTTTAGCCCCAGCAATCTTGAGCATCTGGCTCTCCAGTGGCATCGCAAATGTGCAGCATCAGTTGAAGAATCAAGGCTACTCAGAAAGACGCTTGGAGAAGTCCATTACCAAAACCTACATGGACGATCGCACTTTTGTCTGCCCCAGCTGGAATGAAGCCAGTGATCGGGCAAATGCTTGGTTCGCATTTTCTGACAAAGTCAACTTGCAAGAGAATAAAGACAAAGCTCAGGCTTGCGGCAAGACCAGGGCTAAGCAAGTGACTGTGCAGCGCCATCGTCCGGAGTGGACAAAACAGACCCCAAAGGTTTTGGGGATTACTTTGGTCCCTGGGCCGCGCAAAGAAGCCGACAGCGAAAGTCAAAGGCTCATCAAAGCCCTTGGGAGGATGCGCCTCCTTGCCATGATCAAGCTTCCCTTTGAGCGATTTCTATCTTGCTATCGTTCGCTTGTCCTACCGGTCATGACCGATGGCTGGATTGGCAAACTCCCGGGACGTACCCGAAGCAACGAGTTGTTCTCTACTGCCATTGGCACCTTGCGTCTTGCGAATGGCCGAATTCGCGAAGTTGTCTATGGCGCCAACACGCATCTCGACCCCGTCCTTGTCCAATGAGGCCTACACCTCAGTTGGCCTGCTTCGACGTTGGCTCAAAAAGTGTGGTTGGGCTCCTGATGGGCCTTGGAGATGGAAAGCAGGCAGGAAGCGGCTTGCCGTGATCCAGAACATAAGTCCCTTTCAGATGCAGAAACAGAAGCATCAGATCCGTCAGCAATGGAGGCATGAAAATCTGTTTCGCTGGGCGACGTGTCGGAGGCATGAAGCAGCGGCACTCCGCGGAGCGCTGCCGGCCAAGCAAATTATCACAGAGTTGCAGTCGTCAGACCTTGAATGGGTTCGGCTGCGTGCCGACAGAAATGCTGAATCTCGTACTGTGCTCCTCGGTGCTGTCGCCTCCTTCGGGTGGCTTGCCATAGCCCAACGAGTGCCTGAGGATGAGGCTTGTGCCTGCGCCTGGTGTCACGGGAGCCTCTGTGACTGGCTTCACCTGGCTTGGGAATGTCCCGCAGCACCCAACAGACATGCAAGACCAGCCAGGCCCAAACGGTGGCTCCAAGCCAGGTTTGGTTGGCCCGCACTGGAAGCAAACAGTCGAGAAGCTGATAGAGTTCTCGAGCACTTAGCCAGCACTGTCACCGAAGTGTGGCGCTCGCGTCATGGAGACAGAAGTTGAATTGATCAACTCAGCATTTTGACCTTTTAGGGTTTAGGTTGCATCTTTTCTCATTTCCAGCATTTTGCTTGATATTTCCAGCATTTTTCTTGATCTCGATGCTCTAGCCAGCTTCTTGGCGGTTTGTTGCCTCCTGACAGCTGTTGCTCAGCACTGACGTCTCGAAGGGCGTCCGAATGTTCTACCTGGCGGAGTTCCTCCGCCGCCCCCGCTGTGCTTGCAAACCAAGGGCAAGTACAGGTCAACGCCGTTCGCATTTACGGCATCGGTGGTTGCCTCACTGTGTCCCGCGAGCTTCGAATCTTGTGGAGCCCCCCGTATTTTTCGAGGCTTTGGTGCCTGCCTTGACCTGCATCTCGTAACTTGTTGGGCTCGTTTTGCGTGCCCATGGCTTGCCAACAACAGTGAACCGTATTGAGCTGCCATTGGAACCTAGATTCTTCAGCTTGCTGCACATCGCCGTGCAAATCGGAAGCACAAGCTGGTCTTCCAGCCCTTATTCATAGAACGTGACGACTTGATAATGAGGCCATGCACATCACTGTTTCTTTTCCTTTACATCTTGGTGGTAGTCAGTGACAACTGGAGATTCTTGGCTGGGGTTCCGATGGCATTGTGCTTCACAGGTTTCTTGCCTGGCATCCATGCGGTCAGGCAAGGATACCGAGAGCAGGATCAAATGTTGCAGGACCTGGCAGAGTTTGACGTCGAGGCCGTTTCCTGTACGACATTGTTTGATCGGACGTTCATTCTCTCAGCACTGGTTGAATGGTATGCCACTTTGGAAGCCTTTTCGGCGCATGTGCATGGGCCTTTGAGGGAGGAGTTAGCACAGATGGTCTCACAGAGTCGCGCACCCATTTCATACTGTGTTGTTTGCCTCACGCCTGTTATATCCTTTCAGCTGGACACGACAGCTGCGCTTCTGCGAGCAGGTGCGCCGACCGATATCCTGCAAAGGTACTTGGTAGGGCAGGCGGCTTTCATCATTGCAGGAAGTTGGCAAATCCCCACTCTTTTCTGGCTGTGCCACCACTTTGCACGGCCCGCTTTCCCGGCCGTGCGGCGAACTACGCCCAGACTTGCTGGGGCGGCATTTTCTGGAGCCTGTGCTCTGCCTTCCCACTGCTTGCGGTCATGGCCGCATATCGCCACAGCCTTGGCGGGGCCTTCATTGCTCTTGCAATTTCCTCGATCATGGACTCTTCTCTACTTTGTACTTGCCGATGCAAACAGTGACTCCAAAGGGGTCGTCCCAAGCCAAACAGCACGATGCTAGGGCTCTCCACTGGAAAACAGACCAAATGTCTTAATGAGTCCGTTTATTCCAAGCAAACCCCCAGTCTGTCAGAGTGGATGTTTGGTCGAGTTCTGCAAGCAGCGTGATGCACCCCATGAAAGGTACGAGAGCATCGCGTGCAAATTTTTGGAGCACTTCTTGCATATTGCTCGTGTTGCCTTGCCACGTTTTATTGGGGGGTGGGGATGATCGGGGTTCAGCACCTGCCAAGAAGGCTTCGCAGGTCTTTGGTTTCCAAACCTACAATCCGTACGAGAGTTTCCGTTGACGGCGCTGAAAGGCTATGACACGCTTAGCCGACAATGCTGAGCACGGGCTGTGGGATCCTGTGGATGAGGCTCTGATGTCACGGTGTCGTGTCCGGAGTCCGTTCTCTTTGCCGGCTTGCCCAGTTCTACTACGATGTGCTGGCCAACCCAGACGGAAGCCGGGCCGGTGACTGAACAAAGTGGCGGCTTGCTGAGTGTCGAGCAATGAGGAATGAGGGGTCTGTCAAGGAGCCAATCAAGTTGCGCTCCATTGTGGGCTTGATCCCGCTTTTTGCAGTGGAGGTGCAGACTCGACTGTAGTAGATGGATGGTTTCACGACGTCTCAAGTGCAGCTTTTCTGACAGTGAGGTGCTAGAGCCCGCAGGGTGCCCCGGTTTCGGTCGGGGAAAGGTGCAGAAAGGAAACCGTTTGCTTCGCACGGAGGACATGCTGAAGAAGCTTCCGCGCTTCGCCAGCCAGACGACCTTGGCTCAGGAACTGGACATGGTGGAGAGTTGGTGCAGGGCCGCGCAGAGCCGTGCAGGGGCTGTGTTAAGGCAATGGCTTTTCGACAATCGCCCCGACCTAGCCTGCTTGGTCTCACGCTTCGTGGAGGCCAAAGCACAGATCACAGAGGGATGAGACAGAGAGAGAGAGAGAGAGTTCTTTAAGGCTTTAGCCCGAAAGAGATGTTATGCTCGTTCTTCACCCCCCGAGACCCGCACAAAAGTCATGCGGGTGGGGTTTGAAGTGCGGGGGTCTTGACCGACCCCTATGCCCGGGAGAGAGAGAGAGAGAGAGAGAGAGAGAGAGAGAGAGAGCGAAAACGGTGCCATTTTGGCTCAAGTCTTTCACCCTTGTGGGAACCTGGGAGGCCCGTCCAGGCATCGCAAGACCTTCTCTGACCCCAACCCCTTTGTGTTCGTCACCCTTGTGGGGACCTCGGTTGTTACCGGGGCAAACCTGGTGACGGCACAAGGGGTGGCCCGGCAGTAGGAGCGGGCGACATGCCACGTTGTCGAGGGAGTCAAGGTCATCCTGTCGAACTAGGGGGAAATCGTGCACCCTGCCCGAGATGCGAAAGAAGTCCCTCGCCGTCCACCCTTCACAGTTTTACCCCAAAGCATTGAACAACAGCTGAAATAGCGTGTTGTCATGCTGATACAGACTTACATCCGCTGGGGGGACAGTTGGTTGTTGCTTGCTGATCAAAGACACCCTGAAAATCCTATCGGTTTGTGTTTCTCCAGATCGGGGTGCAACTTTTTGTTTCTCTTCGTACAGCTGAGCCCTCCTACAAAACAGTTCCGGGGGGGAAGTCGATCCCGCCCTACCTCCCACCCGAAAGAGAGAGCGAGAGAGAAAGAGAGAGAGAGAGGAGAGACAGAGCTTCGCAGTTTTGCCATTCCAGCGTTGCCCAGCCTGGCCGCGGCGAGCGCCGGCTCCTCTCTCTTCTTCGGGGTTACAGGAGCAGAAGACGGCAGAGCTCCGGGTGTGTTCCTCCGCTGTGTTTTGAGGATGCGGGCGCTGTTGAAACGCATGCTGGACCCAATGGAGTTCCTCTCAGATTACGGAGTGCGAGTGCGGTGCTTGGTGTGACGGCAGCAACCTCACGCGCAGTTGAGTGCGCTCGATCTCGATCGTAATAGCTGACGACGGCCTCCTGGCTCAAACCTTAACAGTCAGCTTGAGCCCAAGTAGGACCACGTGTCATGCAGAACACCAGAACTCCACTTATCAATGCAAATCCCATGCTTGCTGCACCGTCTCATTGTTGCTGCACTTGTCGTAGAAAAGGGTGACTCCGCGGCCGGCTTGATGATCACCAACGATGCCTTGCTGGCTTCGGTGAAGCTGTTGGCCTCGGATTTGGATGGCACCCTTCTGGACCCACATCACAAGCCAGTCCCTCGCATCAAGTATCAGTATTTGTTTTGTACTTCTTTGGCTGCGTAGTGGCTGTAGCGAGGAGGAGGAGGAGGAGGAGTCGCTGCAGCAGTAACAGCAGCAAGAGTAGCAGTCGTCTTCGCAATCAATTATTAAGCCGCCTATTAAGCCTTTGTGGAGCTTGTAAAGACCCCTCAGTTTCGCAAGTAATGGAAAACGCACCATTCAATTTCTCATTTGGTTGGTTTTTTCTTGCATGACAATGCAACAATGAGCCCTTATTGAGCCTCGTTTCCAGCTTCCTTCAGCCCTTACAGAATTTCTACTGTTGGGCGGTTTTCCTTAGCCTTATAATTCACCCCGTCAAGCCGTTATAGAGCCTCCCTCTAGAGCCCTCCAAAGCTGCTATTAGGGCCTCAAGGCCCTTATTAAGCCCTTATTAGGCACGCCCAGAACCCCTCAGAGCCCTTCAACTTCTCAACTAAAAGAAATCGAGCCCCTCGATTTCAAGACTTTGGCTTGGTTTTGGCAGAGCAGAAGAGCGACGGATTTCAAGGTGCCGCCTGGCGTCTTTGAGACCCGCACCAGCTTCCTGCTCAAAAATATATGCATTCATCAACACCCAAAGCCCTGAAATTCGAAATCTTCGGCCAAACCGACAAAATCCCGACAATCTGAGCAACCTTGGCCCCAGAATCTCTACACGCAAAATGATTTGGTGAGTTTCGGGGATTGTTGCTCTCTGCCACGGATTTTGCATTTCCCGGCTGTGAATTTTCTGGTGTTCCCGGTACCTGCTCATGTTTCGATGCGAAGCTCAAAAACACCCCAAGATGCCCAAAGTCATCGACATCTGCAAACTCAACACTTCATGGCTGCTGGGATTCGGGGATTGTGGAGCCTGCCGAAGTTTTTGCATTTCCGCATTTGGAAGTTTCGGGTAGTTTCGAGCTTGAAAATCAAACACATATGGTACAACAGCAATAGCCAACCAATTGTGTGCCAGCAGTGATAGGGCACTATTGAAATGCGCCGGAGCTCGCATATTCTGTATTTATGAACTGATATCTATTGTACTTCTGTTTCTGTAGTTAAGGAGCTCTCTTCTTGTTCATGGTTCTGAAATAGCTGTATGGCCCCGTGTTGAGATGCAAAAGAGGCTGTGCCAGCTGAAGTTGTTTGTTGGCTGAAAGGGAATTATATAAGAGAAAACTCCGCTTATCCAAAGGCAGAGTAGTTCCTGCGGTTTGTTAGTTGACCACGCAATCGGCAGGCAGGCAATCGTGGCAAATAGAATCCGTTTTGACTTTGAGGTCGGTTTTGCACACCTACGCAAAATCAGCAGTCGTCGTAGTAGTAGTAGTAGTAGTAGTAGTAGTAGTAGTAGTAGTAGTAGTAGTAGTAGTAGTAGTAGTAGTAGTGGTAGTAGTAGTAGTAGTAGTAGTAGTAGTAGTGGTAGTAGTAGTAGTAGTAGTAGTAGTAGTAGTAGTAGTAGTAGTAGTAGTAGTAGTAGGCTATTGTCGTCGCGGTTGCAGTGGTGGCGGTAGTAGTAGTAGTATATAGATTATATAGTAGTAGCAGTAGTGTAGTAGTAGTAGTAGTAGTAGTAGTAGTAGTAGTAGTAGTAGTAGTAGTAGTAGTAGTAGTAGTAGTGGTAGTAGTAGTAGTAGTAGTAGTAGTAGTAGTAGGAACAAGCCGATTTGTAACGGTAGTAGACTAGCAGTAGCAGGAGCAGGAGCAGGAGAAGTAGTAGAAGTAGTAGTCGTAGTCGTCGCGCTCATAGTAGTAGCAGTAAAAGTAGCAGAAACATTATAGTCACTGAATAATCTCGGAACCGCTGCTTCCGCAATTACTTGATAGCAGTCCAAAAAGCTTGCCCAATCGAGGGTCCGAACCCATGCGAAGGCCTTGACCTTGTACCCGAGGTAACAAAATTCGCGCTGATTGAGGGTTCCCATTAATCAGCATACCACAACAAATCTGGCCACAGGCGGCTGGAACCTTCGAGGCCATCGCAGAGTACCAAACAGCTGGGGGCGCTTTCGCTGTTTGCACGGGACGAGACCTGGGCTCGGCGCGAGGCGCAGAAGTCAGCAAGGGACGCCAAGGTTGATGAATGAAGCCACAAGATAGAAAGGAATCAGTTGCAGTGCTGCGTTCGAGTTGAATTTAGTCTAAGAAATGAAGCGAGTTTTTGTTCTGAACCGTTTCTTTGCGTCCACCAGCCGTTGCTTCAATGTATGCGGGATGCTCTAGTGGGGTGAAGACGGGATGGGGGGCACAGCCCCGAGAACTTGGAGCGACGAATTAACGTGGTTACTGGAAACAGAGGCCACAGTCTGCTGTCAGGCGTGCTGAAGGGCCTGGACATCGATACCATGCCCGGGGTTTACCTGAACGGCACGACCGTAAAAGGCACAACTTCTTTCAGAGAAGCGTGCTGCCAAGCTTTGCGCAACTTCAGGCAAGGGCGGTGAGATGCTCCGCAATTTGACGCTTCCGCCGGAGTTATTGCAGCGCATGGTGGACTGGGGCCGGGAGCACCGGGACAAGGACGACGCACGTCGCACACTTGCACCAGACTTTCCCCATGCTGGAAGCCAGGCCTCAATCCTTTTTGTGGAGGGCGATGCCCACTATGCCACTTGTAGCGAAGTTGAGGTGCTCTAAAACGCGGAGCATTGGAGTGCTTCGGCCCGAGGTCATGGACCGCTCCGAGGAGTACGCGCTGTTTATGCACAAGCACCTCCTGGACTGAAGTGGTGATTACAGCCCCGAATGCATCCAAACGCAGTGCTTGCAGGACCCCGACCCTCTAGAAGTGAAGGGTGGCTGGGCATGCCCGGAGATCCCGACCAAGGTGAACATGATGCGTGTTATCTGCAGCCCGGAGGACATGGACACCATCAAACCACAGGCCAGGTTGGAAGAGAAGCTCTCCGATTCGACTAACACCCGACACGCCGCGTGACACACCAGGTGGCTGCATGTGTCAAGGGCTTGGCCAACTATGCACAGTCGCTGCCGACCACGCCACCCGGCAGCTTCAGCCTTCGCCTCACCTTAGCAAGCTACTTGAGGCAGAGCTTAGTAAAAAAAGAGACGCGGTAGCCGGAGAGGGAGAGGTGAAGCCAAGGATTGACATCATGGCCCCCGGCACCAACAAGGCTGCTGGCCTCCACGTCCTCTTGGAGGCACTGCAGCTCAGCATGGCCGAAGTCTGCGCCATCGGCGACTCCGAGAACGATCTGGAGACCAAGAAAAAGCGGGGGGGTGGGGGCGCAAGTCAAAGTCAGAAATCAAAGGAAGAAAAAGCACTCACTCGAGTCGCCGTGCGCGAGGAGATGCTGCAATCCGTCCGCGTGGCCTGCGCCATGGGCAATGCCCCTTGCCAACGTCTCCTTCTCTCTCTAATATTCTTGAAATGGATATTGATCATTATCCCTCCGGCGGCTGAGGCCGTGAAGAAGACCAAGGCAGTTTCCCACTTTGTGATGCCCAAGAACTTCGACAACCCCGCAGGCGCACATCAGCTGACAGTGCCATTTTCGAGGCATCACATCCCGCGTTTGCTTGATGGCATTCTGAGGCGTTGTTTGTCTCGTGCGGTCGCTGACAAAAGCTCTCAACTCTGGGAGCATGCAACCTCCTAAGCCGCAGCAGACCTTGAGAGTAGCCTGCTTCTGCTGTGGCTCCTGGGGCACGGGCGTCGCACGCCAAGTGGGACAGAGCCTGCTTCACCTACCTCGCTTCGAGGAGAGCAGCCTGCTTCGGAGAGCCTGACCGCAGAACACGCAGCCCCTGAGCGTGCGTGCGTGCGTGCATTTGAGTGATGTGTGCTGTGTGATGTGTGATGTATGTGTGTGTGTGTGTGTGTCAGTCAGTCAAAATCCGTCTCCAAGAGTTCTTCCTGGGGGGGTCTCCTGTCGAAGACACCCCGGGGAGGGGTGAAAACGTGCCTGCTGTGGCCTGCGCATGGGCCCCGTCGTGGGAGCTGGCCGGACCTTCACCTCATTCTCACTTTCATCTGACTGCATGCTACGTCATTTCCAGTCAGTGTCTCTGCAGCGGGCAGCAACTCTACCCCATCAGGATCCTCTCATCCAGTATGTATGATGCAGGGCTGCCACCCCCCTCCCCCTCCCCCCCCCCCCATGGTATCCCCCCCTTCCCTCCCCTGTGGTGTGCGCCGCCCCTGCGGTATCCCCCCCCTCCCCTCCCCTGTGGTGTGGGGTCCCCCCGCCCCCCCCCCCTGTGGTGTGTGCCCTGTGGTGCTTTATCCAATGGTGCTCTGCATGATCATCATCATGAACATCAACATGATGGTCCCCCTGCCCCCCCGTGGTGTGGTGTGGTGTGGTTCTGGGTTTGGGATGGTTTGGGTCTGCGTGGGGTGCCTCCCCCCCCTGTGGTGTGGTGTGGTGTGGTTCGGGGTTTCGGTCTGCTTGGGGTGCTTTGTATAATCATCAGCTTCTTCTCTCGCGGCGGAAAGGGTTCTCCGTCCAGCGGGCACCTACATCACGCATATCTTGCGATGACGGCCCCTCAAGGGAGCATGGCACGAGTGCCTCTTATGGGCATCGATTGCTAAAAACACCTAGGTGACGTACATAGATGACCATTCAGTCATCCATGGTTTCCCAGTCGATCCGGATCAGAGTGGTGGATGTGATCAATGTCTGAGTCTGCTCGCGTTGCACTGTGCAGCGAATGTTGCCCACTATGGTCTCCAGTAGGCGAACTCTCTGCTCCATGGTGTTGTAGAGCCGAAGAAGCGTAAGCAGATCCGTCGAGACTTTTCGCATCTCTGATTCCAGAAGGCGCATCTGTCCACTGAGCCACACTATGTCTGTTTGTGAGGCTGACAGCGGATAGGCAGGCTTCATGTCGGTGCTCTGACACACGCGCTGTGTGATTTGAGCTAAAGCTTCGCAAGTTAACAAGCACAGCAATGTAAATGTTTTGATGCGCTGATGCTTGCATGGAAGCTTCGAGCGGATGCGGCTCTTTTTCGTCATCTAAAACCGTCCAGCTATTCTCCCCCGAAGCAAGGATCGTGGTGTAGTGGCCTGAACAAGGCGTCTGGCCATGATGTTGGATGTATGCTATTGCACGATAAGGCACCCACTCAACATCATACCCCGTGGAGCTGGCATACACAGGAACCTGCACATGAGGAGTCAAATGATAGGCTTGAGCAGTTTTGACAGCTTGGCCACTGGACCATGCGAATCGTGGAATCTGCATGAAGATCCATGGAGCTGCTGATGTGAATGCATACATGGTGTCCTGACTGTGCCAAAAATTTATGAGCAGTTGTATATCAGGATGGTGGACGGGAGGCTCAACCAGGATGACACAGTGTGTTATGGGGGCATCGACAGTTTTGCCAATGCCTGTATCCGTTGCATAGCGGAGCTCCACAACTCCTTTGACCACAGAGGCGGCTAGTTTCGGATGCAGGTGATTTATCAGCTCAGTGGCATCGTGCTGCTGCTCAGGCCGGCGCCAGCCCAGAAGCTGAAAACCCAGGTGACGGCGAATGTGTATGAAGTCAATCCCGTCAGCATGTCCCCTAAGCACCTGGGGCAAAACGGACATGTTGCCTGTGTGCACTGCCGCCGCCCACAGACTATAGATAACGGCGTTCAAATAGCAAAGGTTATTTGGATTATGCAATCGGAAGGATGGCATGGCAATTTGATGCACACGAATGGTGCTTGGTATTGCATCCTGAGAGTCCGACGTTTGAGCATTCACCTCCCATGGTGCAGCCGAGCTGGCAGTCGGGATCAGCTGCCAAACATGAGTTGGGCCAGTTGTGTGGCCGCTGGCTTCCGAACCATGCTCTCCTTTTTTAGACTCATTCCGATGAGTCCTGTGAGGGAGCAGTTGATCAGCTTCTCGAAGTGCTCGTAGACCTCCTGAGCCAGAGATCCCCTCAAGGAGATGTCCAGCAGAAACGTGGCCGAGGTGCGGTTCTGATCCTCCAAGTGCTGGAGCCGTTGAGTGCTTTTGAAGTTCTGAATGATGTCGTACTTCAGATTCTCGTAGAGAAAGCTCAGCACTCTCACAGCCTCGGTATGTTGCAGCGGTGTCCTGTCCTCGTTGGGGATGAGAGTTTTGGTCTTCCTGCACCACTTCATGTAGTGCCAGTCCCCATTCTCTGCCAGCCATTTGGCTTTCCGCAAGGAATCCCTCCCCTCCTGAGTGGCCACGACGTGCTGCAGTCGCTGCTGTAACTCCTTGATGAGGTTCGCCAGGAGCACGGTCCGAAGTGGCGAGACAAGGCGATCGTCGCCCTGATCTTTGCGAGCATTCCACTCTCGGGCGGCTCGCATCATCGCCGGAAGGACACTGTGGGTGTCCTCCTTCAAAAACATCACCAGGCCGCGGTCCAGGCTGAGGCAGTTGATGCGATCTTCGTGCTGAAGCAGGAGCTTGGTGATGGCCATCATCTTCTGGTCCTGAGGGCTGGTGTACATCGGCTGGTAGGTCGCGAAGTTGTGTCCTCGAGGAGGATGCGGGCGCTGATGATGGTCCGGCCTCTGACGCTTGGATCTCGATTGAGCGTGGGTTGGTGCCGGTGTCGCTGTGTCCGACACCGTGGTCGACAAAGGAGGAGCTCCGCTGGGAAAACAGTAGCGGAAGATGTCGGCCTCTGGGTTCTCCCCTGCCATGTTGCCGGAGCCGATCCTGCACAATGAGGGCTGCTGTTGAAACCTGGTAGAGGGCGGTACACTGGGTAGAGTGCCTGCCCGGAGCTCCTACGGTGGATTTACAATACATGCATGCTCGTCCACGTGTGAGCTGAGACTTGAAGGTTTTGCAGAGCACAAGAGCTCTTGCAGGAACGTCCCCTAGCTCATGTGAGTGAACAGTGTTCATGTGTTGCTTTACGTGCTTCGAGCTGGCAAGCCACATGTAGCACAAAACACAGCGCTCAAGAAGATCCTTGCGGGCACCTGGCTGCAGGGGCCAGGAGGCCCAGCTGTGCACACTCTGAATGAAGGACGGTCGACGCACTAAGGGCAGTTGATCTTCAGGTATGTTTTCCACGTCCAGAGTGTGGCTGTCGGAGGAGGTTGCCGGTGGCATCTCACTCGTGACCTGAAGTGCATCTGCTTCGACAGGTTTGCGAATGAAGCTTTCACCGCCAAGGGCTTCACATGCTCCTGTGTTGATGTGTTTAACCAGCTGCTGATACCTGAAGAAGCGTCTGTGACAGAGACGGCATTCTGGGAGTCCTCCCACTGAGTGGGCCACTGCATCGAAGGTAGTGGGGCACTTTGGGTGTGCCGGTAGCCTGCCGTGCGCAAGCTGACTGTGTATGCGCATGCCATTGAGGCTAGCAAAGCTTTCACCACACTCCGGACAGGCTACGGTTTGCACGGAGGCTTCATCTACGGTTCGCTCCTCCCGCAGAGGAGTGGAAGCAAGGATTTGCAGCTGACGGAGCTGCTCCTCAGCATACTGTAGGACCTGGGGCATTGTGGTGATGTCGGGTGCAGTAATGGCTCGGGCTTGTTGTTTAAGGACATACTGTTCCAGGCTCTGGGCGAGCTGTTGAGCAGGAAGTGGGTGACCCGCCTGCTGCCAGATCTGTGCTGTTCTGGTATGGCTGATGTGTGCCGGCTGCCTAAGAGCGGCTCGCAGCTGTTTGGTCGAGGCTTTCGTCAGCTTGTCAAGACCTTTGCTGGTCAGGCCGACCGCAGTCAATGAGTAGTGTGCACTGGTCTGCACACAGGCTGTCCAAAGGCGAATCCTGTTATGAGCCGTAAGTACATGATGCCCATTGAGGGTACGACGAAGTGCTTGATAGCGGCCGTTCCCGGCCTTCACACGATGGTCTACATTCAAGTTTTTACGACCCTGATAGGAGACAATCGACCCCAAGTATTCATGTTGTGCCTTTATTGGAAGAGTGCAGTCGCGGCCTGACACAGTGAGTCGGAGAAGATGTTGACTGGCCTTGGTGATAGTATGGTCGCGAAGAATTTTTGCAGCATCTTTGCCCTCCAAAACAAGTAGGATGGCTGTTTTTGTATAATTTACAGTAAGATGAAGAGATTCAAGGATGGTAAGAATCAGTTCAAGATCAGCTTTCGCTCGTTTGAAGTCAGTCAGGCTACGTATAATCCAGTTCGACCACACATCATCCGCGAAAATTGTCATGATGTGAGCTAGCCATTGCTCACTCCTAGACTGCATAAGGAGCTCCATGAACCGCAGGGTTAGAAAGCACCAAAGGTAAGGTGCAATTTTGCAGCCCTGTTTCACGCCATTGGTTGTGCTCGTAGCTCCGTGGCTGTTCTGACCTACCTGATATTTGTAAAGGGCATGCAGGTGAAGCTGCTGCACGGCATTAACTACCTCCTTGGGCACCCCATGATGGAGCATGGTTTGGTACACTTCAGGTCGGCTCGCACTGTCAAATGCACGCGAAAGGTCTAGCGACAGGCTCATTGCACCAATGCACTTGGCAGCCTTCTTGCCTGCCTTTTGCTGGAATCGATCCACAATGTTGTCTTTCAGAATACTAGCAACCTGATGGAAGTGCATGTGAACCCTAAGGAGGGCCTCCTGTGTGCCTCTTTGCTTGATGTAGGCAAATTGGGGAAGCGAGGCCAAGGCTGGATGAAGTACTTGTAGTAGCCGCTCACGAAGGGCACCTGCGAGTGCTTTGGTCGTTGGACATTGGAGTCCGATTGGGCGAAGAGCTTCAACAGAAACCGGTGGTTTGTTCGGCTTCGGGAGCCACTTGATGTAGCAGTCTTTCCAGT